TAATTAAATTCATTAAAAATTACTATTTCAAAATTATTTAAAGCTAATAATGCTTCCAATGAACGCCTTAGAACATTTTCGGTAATTTTTAGCGATGCAAACATTCGTCGTGAATAATCGCTCATCACATGATTTTTGCTCGTGCCTGCAAAAAGAAACCATTAATTTTTTATATTTTTTCCATTTTTATTTATTTAACAAAATTGCAAATATTATAAAAGAAACGAAAGGAAAAGAAATTTTTTCAAAATTGCGCAAATATAACGAATAATTTTTGATAAAAAAATTTTTTGTAACGATGAAAGTCATTAGATAAATTAAGTTGTAAATTGTTGTGAAATTTTAAATCGAATATAGATTTTTTCAGTACATAAAATATTATAAGTGTAAAAAGAAAGGAATGGAGTTGTACTTTAATATATAAAATTTAATAAGAAGCGGGAAGAGAGAGGAAGAGAGAAATAAAAAGTGATAAAATTTATCATTCACCTGTGATAGCATCGTGATGTTGAAAAAGTGCTAAATTTCTCCGAGCTGTTGTGAGTTGCTGTTCGATAATTTGACGATTTTTGATGGATAAATGCATAAAAGCATGTGTACTTAATAGGTCCGCAGCTCTTATAAATGACTAAAAATTTTTTTTTTAATTTTCCCTATGGAAAAAAGTTAAAATTTCAAGCTTTTTCCAAACACTTTATTCATGATAGAAAAATTATTGAATAATTAAAAGCTGCATTAAAACTAACTTTATGTTCTGATCAAAAAGAAAATAAATTTTTAAATGAGCCAATAAAATATTTTTAACTGAACTAATAAAATATTTTTAATTTTTAAGTTGATTCGAAAGGCGTACTTCTGAATTATAACACTATTATGAAGTAAAATTTCGCGGAATATTTTAAATTTTGCTCAAATATTTGCCGACTTCATTTTTAAGCAAAGTTTAATTCAAAAATTTACATGTAACTCTCGTTCTTGTCTTTTATAAAATGGTCTTGTAGTGTAATAGCCGGTCCAATAATCACCGGAAGGACACTGATAAGGAAAGAAATCACCGGATAGAGTTGCTGGTGCAAGATTTTTTGCCTTATTATTTCGTTCTAATGCGTCGAAATATTCCGTTAGTGTGCCAAATCTGATATTTTCAATTTAACATAAATTAAAAATCTTTCGCATTATTTTATTTTCTCCAATTTTTTACCTTAAATTCAATTGATAAAGTTAGAAAGAATTAATAAAGTTGCAAAAAATAACAATAAAATTTAATTAATAAATTTTTTGCTAATGTTTTCGCCGTCAATTAATAAGAATTTCATAAAAATTTCAAGTGCGAAACGTTTTTTTTTTTAATAGAATTTCTTACTGATTTTTGAATTTATATTCGTTTAATTAATTTGGACTGAAAAAAAAAAATATTTTAAGGATGCATAGTAAAATAAATGGAAATATAAATATTGAACCTAATTTTTGTATGTTTTGAGTTCACATTGATGTAATCAAATAGTAATATCAAATTGTCATATTGCTGATACCATTCTTCTAATTCACTGTATCGAAAATCATCACCCCAAACCGATAATAAAATGTTGCTTCCTTGTTGAAGTGACATTTTTAAGAATTCTTCTTCTAATTTCAAGGCACTGTAAATGGGAAATTATTATTGCTTTAATTCAAATTTCAAGCATACATTGGACATACATTATATTTTGGAATTTTCTGCTAACTGTTTCAAAATTCAATCAAAAATTTCTTGCAAAAATATTAGATAAATGAGTTATTTGCTTTGATTTAAATTATTCAATGAATATTTTAGTCAATTTTCCTAATATTGTGCTAGCATATATAAATTAATAAAGATTTGAATTGAAATTCAATTGAAGACAATTCAATGTTTAAAATTTTCTCGCTTACCGTGCATGAATATTTAACTCTGTAATTGGTACCGGTTTCTCACCAAAGCATCTAAAATGATTCAATCTTTTAAAATCATACTGACAACATATTTCCGGATCCGGTCCACAATTATTTAATATGTCGTAGTGGTTATATGGCAATACATAGGTGTACATGTCATTTTGTCCATTAATATCTGAAGTTTTTTTCATTTCTTAAACAAAATTAGCTATTATTAAAATTTCTCAGTACTTCAATATTGAATATTATTAGATAGAAATTCAAATATGCAAAGTTTGTTCAATATACAGTCTTAATGTATTCATGAAATTTATTTAACAATTAATTGACAAATTTTGCTTCATATTGAATGCATTTTTAGCAGGAAAGAGGGAAAATAATTTAAATCAAAAATTTTTCCAACAAAACATTTCATTGAAATATATTCGACCAAAATTTCATTTTAATTGGGCAAAAAAAAATTGACAGCAAAATATTTAACAATAAGAAAAAATAGAAGTGAGCAAATCATTTTGTAATTTCAGATTTTAATAATAACAATAATCAAAGATTAAAAATTGACCAAAAAATTGTCGCCAGTAAAATGATAAAGCACCATGATCTCGAAGAAATGCTTTCAAATTAGAATGAATTCTATTGATTACACCACGTTTGATACCAGTTTTTGTATACAAATATGATACCGATGGACCATAACCAAATGGATCATTTGACCACATCACTTCAGCTTCTACATCTAAAATAATTTATGCTGAAAATTTTTTAATTCAATTTTTAATCTAAAATTGAACCAGATAATGCTTTTAATGCTTGTATATGCTCTTCGTTCGAAATATTTCTTATGATAATGATTTAATTGCTTTGGATTAAAAAAGATAACATTCAATTTTGAAAAATTTTAATTTTCATTTTCTAAAACTAGAGAACTGAATTATTTTTCTATTCTTTAACTACAACCTTTGCATATTTTGGATGACTAATAAAAAATAAGCAGAAAGGTGACTTTTTTTTGCAGAAAAATTTGGCAAAAGAAAAAAGAGTTGAAATTTTTATACTTAATTCATTGTATAAATATTGCTGTCCTTCGATAATATTATCCACAATTGATGGAAAATATGTTGTTGCTTCATCTGTCATTACCCAAGAACCGCTTACAATTTCCAATTGCCTATTTTCAATAAGCCTTTAAAAAAATTTTTTGTCAATCGATTATTTAATTAATCTTTAATGCGATTAAATTATTATCTCAAATTTTTCTATCTTTGAAAAAATAAAAAAATTTTACCTTTTCATTATTTTATTGATGATGAAAAAAAACAAAACAATGGTAGAAAGGGAGTTGATTAATCAAATAATTTATGAAATAACGAAAATTCACTTTGAAATTTTCTTACAGTGTAATATTTAAATTTGAAAACAAAGAAAAAAGCAAATCATTCATATTGGGATAATAATTGAATTTTTTTTTTTAAAAAACAATAAAATAAAAGGAAAAAATTTTAAGAAAATTATTGTTATTTTATTTACTTTCTTGTTAAACTTTTGACAGTTTCATTTTGTTTTTTCCACCATTGCTCAAAGAAAGCAATTTCACACCACATGAAACGCATCCGTGGATGATCTCGCATAAATACAATCATATTATCCAATATAGCATTTGTATCATTCAAATAATTGTTAAATGTTTTTAGCCAACCTAAAATTCATTCAAATTAAATTACTCACAAATTTAATCTTCTATAAAGTTTTTTCAACTTTTTCTTTATTAAATTAAAATTTAAAGAAATGGAAATAAAAAAAATAAGGTTTCAAATGATAAAAATGCGTTCAAAAAATTTTTTGTACATATAATTTTTTTTTACAAAATAAGCAATAACAGTAGACAATTTCCATATTTTTTAAAAATTATAAGGAATGAAGTAGTAATGATAATTAATTAACTAATAAAATTCGTAAATTGTACCGATATAAAATGTGATTTCAATCAATAATTTATCCTATCAGATTGATATGGATCAAAAACCGGATTAATTTAATGTTTGGTTGTGTGAAATCGGATCAAACATTTCCCTATTTCATATTTATTTCCATTCATAAATGCTTCTTCCATATTTTAGCTTGCTTAGCTGAATGCAATATTCAGCTAAGTGAACAGCAAATACGGTATTTTTCCGGAAGCACAAATAGTAGGAAATATGAGCAAAATTATGCTTAATTTGGCAAAAAAACAAGGTTTACTCATCTGGGTCAACGTGAGTAAACGGTAAAACGTATACTTCCGTTGCGTCAGAAATATTTTTCTTTCTAACTTCATAATGATGTCGTGAAATTTGTTCGCCAACGATTTCTTTAAACATATCGAATGTCTAAAGAAAAATTAAATTACATCAAAAAATAGCGATAATGTGGAATAAGTATTTATTCCATAAAAAATGGTTTAAATAGGAATTAATTAAAAATGAATGACTGAATAAGAAGAATGGAAAATTAACAAAATCACAGAATTTATAATTAATTTTTCAAATGATTAAGAAAAAAGAATAAGAATTAACAGCACTGATGAATGCATTTAAATATGATTAAAATTTCAAATACTATCCGCGAGCTAACTTTTAATGTTAATTATACAAAATAGATGTCAGAATGAATTTTAATAATTCATAAATTCAAGAGCATTTAAAATTATAGTTTTTTTTTAATTTTTTTGTTTCTTGTTTTAGACTCAAAAAACTTTTTTTTGTTTTAAATTCATAATCATGAACTTACGAGTGGAATGAAAACCCAATATTTTCCGATGATTTGATGATTAAAATTAAACTAATGCATAATAATTTAGCAAATAAATTGAGATTATTGATTACAATTTGCAAAAATTTAATTAAAAAGTGCATTTATATTCTTACATTAAATTCAGTCTTTGCTTCCATTGAATATTTTTGAATACATTGATATATCGTATTGTCACTTTCATTTTTATCATCCATTTTCAATGCTTTGAAAATGGATGATTTTGCATGAGGAATGAACCAAAAATTGATCTAAAATTTTATAATCAAATTGGTTGAATTTTTATTGGTTTTGAAATATTTTATAGCAAAAGTTTCCCTCTCAAAAATTTCCTAAAAAGGGGTTATTCATTTGAGAGTTAAAATGGGAGATTAGTTAAAATTAGTGGTAGAATAAATTCCTTCTCATGTAACTTTTATACAGTTCTGTTAACTTACAAAATTCAAAAGTGATGCATAAAAACGAAATTTCCGAGTTTTTTAACTGAAAAAATTAACGGAAAGTTAATTAACTAATTGATATTAGGAAAAAATTAAAAATTTTTAGCAAAAATTTAGAAATAACAAATCATACCAAAAATAAGGAAAATAAATAAAATCCAATTATTACAATATAACGCTTTCTATGAGCAAATGCAATTCGAGTGATTTTGAATTTTGCCATATTTTTCTGCAAATATCAATTATGTTTTTTATGTTAATTTAATTGAAATAAAAAAAAATTACAGTTTCGTAAATTTGTTGTATGTGCTGCATTTTAAGAAAGAAAAAAGTGAAAGTTGCTTAAAAGCAAAAAGTCAAGAGTATGATTTTAATCGAAACAAAAAAAAAAAAACTTTGTTTATAAATAACATTTTTCCTTTTGTAAAAAATAGGAATAAATTTGTAAATAGTCAAATCACTTAAGCTATTAAGCTATTTATTCATTAAATTTTTTTGAAATCTAATTCATTATCAATCAATAATTTTTCATCAAATATCATTTAAACAAGCAATTAAATTCAAACATTTGATGGTTAATATTGTTGCGCTTATTATCATTCGTGCATTCTCCAATGCAAATTAATTGCGATAAAAAAGAAAAGACGAAAATACTCTCCATTTATTAGAATAGAAAAATAATGTACAGAAATATGAAAATAATTTCAATTCAAAATTATTGAAACGATTAATCAGATAAACTTTTTTCCTTTGATTATAAATATGCAAATTAATTTGTTACTCTCTTCCTTTTCCCGTTTTCATTTAGTTTGAAAATTTTGAAAAACTAATTTCTGTCAAAATGTTGTTATTTTCACAAAAATTTCGTTCCTTTTTCTTTTTAAAAAAGGAATGATATTGCATTTCGAGAATTTTAAGACAATAATTAATTTGAAATAGCCTATTCTTTATTTTTTATCTTCTTAAGCATTGTAAAATCATGTTCTCGATTATCAAACATTGATGTATGATGAGATCTAACTTGAACTACGAAAAGCCTAATTAGCAAATATACAACGAAATCAATTAAACAATTAGAATTAAAACGAAATAAATATATGTTGAATCAGCTGACTTGATTTTTTTTGCAGCTATGAAAATTGAGTTAAACTGTCAAATCTTCGTACAGGTGTTGTGTAATTTAAGCTCATATAGCGGTAACATCTTAAAGCTAAGTTTAAAATTTTTAACTGCTAAGAATAAAAATGTTAAAAATTTTAAACTTTGAAGATTTTTTGTTTTTTTTTGCACGTTTTAAATTATTAATAATTAGCTCTTTGCTTTATGAACAAATTTCACGAATATGTTAAGATAAATCGTTTAGATAAACAGTGATAATTGATGATGGATTTAGTGATATTCTAATCGATAAAAATTTGAACGGAATGAAGAAATCTTGAAAACTTTGGAAATTAAATTTTTTTCATGGTAAGACTACCATGAAAAAAAATGTAAGTCTAATAAATCACAAAATCAAACTAAAATCTTTTGTAGCTTATTTAATTTAATTTAATAGAAGAAAATCTTTCGAATATGCAAGTTATTCAGTATTATTTGCAAATCCATCTGAAATAATGCCAAAAGTGTAGGCTTTCTAAAATGACGGCAGAATTTATTTCGTTAAATAATTTGATTATAAAAAAATTCAAAAATTCTAAAAAAATTCAAAATTTTCATAGGAAAATAAATAATGTATTATACTGATAAACTAATCAGTTACTAGAAAGATCGATTAGTTGACTGTTAAAATGATCGAATGATAACGATATGCGAACGAATAATTACTGATTATTTACTTTTATATCCGTATTTTAATAATGAATTTTTAAGTTTCCATCTTTGTTGTGTTTTTTTTCCTGAAAGATACCGGGATTAGAGATACCGAGATTAAAAAGGAAGGCACAAATATTAATTAATAATAAACTTATGATATTGATGACAAAAATACTGATAGCACTGATTAGTGGTGAATAATTATCACAAAGATAAGAGGCTATGACATGGCAATAATAATTATTAGATTAAAATCTTTTGAAGGCATGAAAAAATTTTACTTTTAGCTCAAAGACTTATGCGATCACCGATCACCGCATGCAATAACTTGATTTTAATGATAAAACTTGTTGAAACTTGAAATGCCCTTACAATTAATTGATAATGTGCTGTAAATAGCTAACTACTTGTCATAATAAAACTTTAACATTTAAATATCAAATAAAAGAATTTTAAGAATGAGCAAAACTTTTTTAATAACAGCTATTTATATTTAATTTCACATATTACTCTTTTTTCATATATATTTAATTATTTTCACATATTAAATAGATTTAATCAAATTTTCAATTTTCTACATCGAAAAAAGAAAATGCAACACGCATTTTGAGCATTTCAAAATGAGAAAGCATTAAAATAAAATAGAAAATGAAGCGAAAGAATGCCATCATAGAAATGATGCGACTGTGAAAAAAAGATAAGCAAATTAAAAATTTACAATTTATAACATAAGTTGTATGAATTACATTAAAACTCGAACAAAAGTCTCGAATGGTTGGATTAACACTCAAATATGATCACTTCATTTATTGAATTAATATTCGGTAAAAGGATCAGAAATGATATTTACACTATCTATTAATTACAAAATTATATTCCAATCATATTTTCGCTTTTTTCTCACCTGTTCAAAACAAAATAAACGAAATAAAAAACATAACAATTGGATGAAAAAGAATTGGGAATGATATATTAATTATTACAAAAAAAATTTGAGTAAAAAATATTTAATATTTAAATATGTCAAGCAAAACATTAAAAAAATATAAAAAGGAAAAATGAAATGGATGAAAATATTTATGCATGAATGTGCGATTACTTTCTTTGAATATTTAAAATTATTTTAATTATTACAAAATTCTAACTTTTCAAAAAAGAAAAAAAATTATTTGATATGGACACAATCATTATACTCTATCGCTATTCTCTATCATCATTATCCTCATTTATTTCCTATACTTTTTTAAGTTTACTTTCTTGAGTTGAAAAAATTCATAATCTTTTATATACATATATTTAATCAAAACGAGCAACTTTTCTATCAGAAAATGCAAAAATAATTCATTCTTAATCTTTTATTTTTGAATTATTTCAGTAATATTTTCTTGTTTTGTCTTTTTTTCATCTGTGCTTAAATTAATGATGAATAAATGAAAAAGAAAAAGGGAAAAGTTTTGGTCCAAAAAACAATTTGTTCTTTTGCTTTTTTATTTATCAATTAGTGAGATTTCCGGGAGAAACGTTGGAAATATAAACGATCGATAATACAAGTAATCATACACTTAATTCATACTGTATTATTGTCGAGC